GGAACACACGAGTGAACGTTGTCATTTCCTTCTTTTTTAATTCGCACACACCGACCAATAACTGCTCACTATACTACTTTGGGTGTGCACATTCTATTCCCATTTCAAACTATCGCTATGCAGCAGTCCATTTACATTATATATATATATATATATATATATATATATATATATATACCCCATGCTGAGGCTGATGTTGCATTCTTGATGCTTCTTCACCGCAGTTGGGCTAAACCAACTTACACTTAAACTACGTCTTTTTAAGCTGGATAAATTTCATTCCGCTTTATTTGGTTTGTTCTGCCTCCCTGAATAATGTTCTATTAACTGGCCACGTTGCTTCCACTAATTGCGCTTATCGTCGGTTACTTTGTTGCATTTTTAAGTAATTTGGGGACATTTCTTACATATCGCGGATCCGTTGCTAACCAACTTACTTCATATCGTAATTTATCGAAGAGTTATGCAACCGTATCTGTATGCATTATTGGATTTACTTTATTTCAGCTTGTCGTTTAAAGTGAATGGCTGTTACTTGATATCCCCGGTGTGGCTGCGCTTGATGTGCATGTTGACAAGCAATGTGCCGCAGTCTTCGTCGCTAGCTACTTTGGATTGCCTCTGTAGGTGGCTTGTGGCCGACTCTCAATTGTCAGAATCTTCGTATGACTCATTTTCGCCTTCTCCTGTTCGACTTTCCTACTTCTGCCACCATAATTACTCCTGGCACGATAGCACTGTCTTTCGGCGCACCAAAAAAGATGCTGCATACCAGTGAACTGCCAACGTACTGCTGTTGATAATGTCAATCGAAATGCATTTCGTGCTTCAGTTAGCTAGGTTCATTCGTTTCGATTGCGGCCGCAGTGACTTTCGCATATGCAGTCAAGCATATATGAGCGTATACCTTGACTGGTTGTTCATGCCGGCGCAGCACTCCTGTCTGGTAAGTGTCGAGGCCAGCGATGAAGACGCATGTGTTATGCGCGGTGGCTTCAGTCATTGTATCATCGAATGACTGACGCGTGATAAACGGATTATAAGCTTCGGTATGTTGTATCCTACCTCACTGAGCTAGATGTAGGAGAGTTAGCACTGGATACCCTCAACCCCATTGCTAACTCTGAGGGAGTGAGACAAAGGATTCGCGGACTAGATACCAGCGCTAGGTACGAAAAAGCTTTCAGCATGAAATGGGCTACAACTCGGCCATGGTCTTGTATAACTATGGTGTTATATATCTGTTATGATGCTGGCATAGCTCTGCCAAATTTGTGCAGATTTTGCCGTGATCACAGACATAATATTACCATGCGGCGCTTAGGCTGTGGTAGTAAAAACTGATCAATCTCCAAGACGTAGACGTCAAGCGACAAGGAACTAACTGAGCTAACTTCAGGAAACCACACATATCTGTTGTGTATGCTGCAGTAAACCCAGTGAACTATTTTCATGACACTGCTGTCTTCATCGTGTCATGCCCCAGTGAACCATCTGAACCTCGCAGTTGGTGCGGCAGGTACCATATAAATTCATACTGACACTAACTGAGATTCCCTCAGCATATCATCACTGGGCGCCAACTCATGTTTCTCACCAACACACACCTTTTTCCACAGTTTATGCATTATATGGTTGGCGGCATCCGGTTTCGGATTTGCCTGTCACTGTGGCAAGCCACAGGACGCCTGCGCTTTCAGAGGGACGATGGGTGGCTTGCGCTGCACCATACACAGCTCCAACCACACACCACATATCCAGTGTAAACCCAAAGGAATATGACCCCGAGGCATGGGGATGGGAGCCAAGTTTCATCAACCAAGCCGGCCCACACTCCTTCACAGGCAAACACAAGCACGCTGTATTTGGGGAATCAAGCGCACACAAGGCGGTGGCTAGACCCTAGTCCGCTCTACACTGAGTGCATGGAACCGCTCTTTGAGCCTAGCACGGCCACAAGAACCGTGCACCCCGTCCCCTCCAGCAACGACCAACTGTCTCCTGGAGCCAGTATGAACGATGTAGTGGGTAATAGACAGGTAGGCACCTTGTCAACATACACATCAAGCGCAACCATACCAGGGATATCAAACGACACCCATTCACTTTAAACGAGAAACTGAAATAAAATAAATCCAATAATGCATATATATACGGTGCATATATATACGGTGGTGAACTCTTGCTAACGGACAGTCTTGGTTTCTCTGATTCTCAGTGCAGTCATACTAAGTTACGCGTATTTCTTCTCCATTCTTAATCCGCGTGTACGTCTGACGGCTTGGTCTCGTTAGTCCGCAAGGTTATTAAATCGATTGGCTACTGTGCGCGTATGGGTGTACTAGCTTCGAAGAACCCTTTCCTGTTCCAAGAGTCGAAACAACTGGGACGCGTTATAACATACCTACAGTATTTCGCTCTCATCCATTCAATGGCTGGCCTTGTTTGCTAGCCTGTGACGTTGCTTACATCCCATTGGTTGGTGCACATTCTCCACACAGGCCGAGCAGCGCGTACAGAGTCTAGGTTTACGTCGGGCCTCGTTGTTGCTGTCCCAGATGGACCGCACCGCGGCGTCCGCTGCACATCCGCCCACTTACATAATGATCCCACCATTGGCTATTTGCCACAGCTGAGATCGTTGTTATTACGGCCCAAGGCGTAAACCACTCCCTGGCCGTACAGCCGACCAATCCGCTTCTCAGCTGTTCGGAATCACGACATTTCTCTTTTATTCTGGGCAGGACCAGTAGTGCGCGCTTGGCTTTCGTCTAATTGGCATCCGGCCCATCGGTACCGCAACGAGTCCCAGGTCTCAAGCACAATTATACGCATGCTCAGGGGTTATAAAACTGTGTTCATAGCGCGCTGCATAATCATTATGCACAATACTTGCAACATAAAACGAAAACATTAGAACAAAGACGAAAAATGGGGCAGCCGGCGTCCAGTTTTCTATTCTGAGTAGCCATAACGAAGCGTGAAATAATGGGGATCTGAACGAGAACAGTATACTGAATAACAAACATAATGAAAATCGTAATGCTATGCTAGGAAACAGAGGACTCTGGGTCATTGGTGGAACCGCGCATCGCTAAGATGTATTTAATATTCATGGGTCCCGTCAGTACTGGGACGTATTACATAATTTTGGTGGAGTAAAATGCACTTTCCCATCTTTCGTTGCCACGCATGCATGCACTCATGAAAGGCTTCATCTGAGTTCTTCCGCAGCTCCGTCATCACAGCCTTTTGATGTCCCCCACCTCTTCAATACGGATACACTTGATGGCCCACTCGCGCCTTGGGAAAAAGAAAACCTCACGCGTCGAACTTAATGCCGCTGTATGGGTCAACGTATTCATGTCGCACGGTAAGGACTCATCCATTGGGAACGGTGACCGCTTGCTCGCAATGTGTGCTACGGATGGCCGGACGGTCATGAACATGCAATTTCCGGTGGGCGCGAGTGAGATTGCTACTTGGACAAACCCACAGAGTGATCGTGCTCGTCCACACGGTCATGTCACTGTACGTCGGTGCGATGTGCCTGAAGTACGTGAAGCTAAGTGTGAAACCGATCATGAGGTGGCGTGAACTATATTGCACCAATATTTTCTTAAGTCCATGTGTTGCTCCTGTGCTCTGATTCGTAGGCTACGTGCTGCTGTCCTCGGTTCCAATGTTTCAGTCAGAGACCCATGGTACCATCACAATGAACATCAGACGGTTGCGGATGAGGAGATGCTAATGCTTGCAAACTCTGATTCGCCCGATTGACTGGATGACAAAAGTATCAGAAAGGAATGCGAGATTTGCTCGAAAGAATAGGATTGCGGCAACTAGTATTAGGAGAACAGCTATTAGACATTCACTTTTGGTGAACGTGCTTGATAGCTATTCTTTGCTCTTCCTATTTTCTACTTCGACTGTTGTTTAAACGCTCTACTGGGTTAGCCCGATTGGTACACACAGTCGTTGTTCATGGACGCTCATCGTCATGTCCTTTTCAGCAGTGCCATTTGCAAGAACCCCTTCCATGGATATTTTTCTTCTCATCACTGTTCTACTTGGTTACGTTAAAGAAATATTTAGTTGTCACACAATTATTGTACTAGTTTTTGGTTTTTCGGTCTGCATTTCTTATTTTCGTTTGGTTCGTGACATTTGTTTAAACGCTTCATTCCGTTATTCTGATTGGCCAGTACCCGTCACTGTAAATGGACGTTCGCTTTACGCTTGGAGTCAAATGATGCTATTTTTAAGGGCATATGCGATTCGCTCTTGAGTACACGGTTACTTATTCGCCGTTGTAATTGACGTTTTTCCTTCTGTTGGTTGGCTCAAGTGTACTTTAGTAGCTTCCCTTCATTCTACCTTCAAAACTATATAAGCAACTGTGATTTCATGTATACAAGTCCCTTTCTGGCTCGTCTTTTGACTTCTTCTTGCGGTCGTGTGGTGAAGACGTCAGCGGCGACACAACAACTAGGAAAGGAAAAACAAATTTCGCAAGCTAGGCTGGCGATTGACTAAAGAGCCTCAACACATCAAGAATGCATGGAGGACGAAGAAGGCGGAACAGATGGGACGTCGGATGCCGCCAGAATTGGATGGACCCTTTTCCAACCAAGGAGAACCCTAGGGAAGCTTGACTCTGGCGCTGCGTGCTCACGGTATACAGATATAATGCAGATGTGGCTCAAGGATACTTCGGCAGTCTCCTAAACAACTGTTCAGAAGTTAATTGGAAACGCTGCAACTACAAAGTGCGAAGGACGGTTTAGCCGACACCTTGATACTTGATGGAATGTACAGGGCACTTGTTCAGCTACAAAACGCCAACAGCGCCGGTGGTCATGGGATACCGCCAGAGGTACTAAAGAATAGCGGGCCACTGATGCTGCATGTGCTGCACCAACTAGTGGAACGTGTTTGGATAGAAATGATACTGAATTGTTGGATACACTTGTCCTACTGTAGCGAGAACGACAAGACAGGGGGGTAGACGTTTATTGCACACCGAAAATGGGCACATGAGGGTCGCGCGCGCGCCATCGAATATCGACTAGATTTCCGTCCCACAACGCAACACAGGTACGGATGTTGGAGACGAGCCAGTCCTTTCGCCTCGGGAGCTCTGACTTGGAAGATCTGCCTTCCTGTTTTCGCCTCGATCCCCACTTCTCTGTACCCGATTTGGATCGGCCAGGAGTCGTTCGAGAGCTCTCGACTTGCTTGTTCTGGGCTGTGTCAATCGGCTCGGCGTCGGTCCTGTGGGCTGCGCTAGCGGCGTATATGTCTGATTTATTGCGCTGTCCACACATTCCCGCTCCGTAGTTCCGGGCCCAGGCTCGTCGCTAGCCGTCCTTCTCGATCCGCTCTCAGCTAGCTCCGAAGAGCTCCCCCGAGGCATTCTTGGAAGCGGCCCCTCTACACCCGCCCCTCCTCGAGGACCTTTCTTCCTCTCGTACCATGGTCGCAGGAGAGCAGCATTCACCCAACGTTTCATTCCTCCGCAGTCGATTAAGAAGTTGCCCGCTTTCTGGTCGATAATGGTGTAGGGGCCTTTCCAGCGTTCTCTGAACTTGCTTGCGCCCGGCCCGTCATGATCCGGCCGATCGTTGTTCCGTAACTTGACTTGTTCTCCAATCCTGAATGGCCTCCACTTGTGAGCCCCATGCCTGGCGTCGTAATTTCGCTTATTCCGCGCTTGTCGAGCTTTGGTTTCGCTTCTAGCTTTCCCTCGCAGTCGCTCTTGATGCCCAGCTGGATGTTCTCGCTCGCCCTGGTTCGGTAGGCAAGTATCGAGCGCAATCCGTGGTTCTCTGCCGAACAGTAATTCGAATGGCGCGACCTTGGTGGTTGCTTGCATGCTGGTCCGATACGCGATCAGAACCTGAGGCAAAGCATCTTCCCATGCCAACTTCGTGCAGTTTATCCACGTCTTCAATGTCCGGTTGAACCGCTCGGTCATGCCGTTGGTTTGTGGGTGGTACGGTGAAGTTCGCCGTCTCTGGATGCCCCACTTGTCCAACACTGCCTTAAACGCTTTTGACTCGAAGCAGGGCCCTTGATCCGTGATGATACACTGTGGGATCCCATACCTTGCAGGCACATTAAATTCGAATACTTGCGACACTGTCTCGCCTGTTTGGTCCTTGATTGGTATGGCTTCCACCCATCGAGTGAAGTGGTCAATCATCACTAGAATGTATCTGTTTCCTGTGCGACTCACTGGTAAGGGCCCAAAGACGTCCAGTCCCCAACACTGAAGTGGCTCACCAACCTCCATCGATCGCATCGGCGGACTCGGGGACTCCATCTCCCGACTCGTTTGGCAGTTTGGGCACCCCCGAATGTATGCCGCGACGTCCTTCCTCATGGTTGGCCAAAACACTCGCCTCCGCAGCAATTCAAAGACCCGCTCGAATCCCATATGGGCGCCATCATGAGTTATACGCATCACACGTTCTCGCTGATTTGGTGGAACAAAAGTCACTTTCCGTCCGTCTATCGCCACCACCACGTTATCGTTTTCGACCTTTAGCCTGTCCCAGATCTTGAGGAGTTCCTCCACCTCTTCCGATGTGGCCTCCGGTTTGGTGCCAGCCTGTAAGTGAGAGCACAACACCTTCACGAATTCATCTGTTCTTTGATCTCCCAGCAGGTTCCTCTCCCCCATCGCGATCGCCCGCACCGGTATGGCATTGTCTGGCATGATGTCGTCCAAACACGGGCGTGACAACATATCTGACAATACATTCTGCGTTCCATCCACGTGCTCAATGGTGAAGTTGAATTCCTGCAATCGGTAGGCCCATCGCGCAAGCCGTCCCCGCGGGTCTTTCGCCGTCATTAACCACGAGAGCGGTTTGTGGTCAGTGACGACCCGAAATTCATTCGCCAGTAAGTAATTTCTCCACTTCTCTAACGCCCACACGATGGCCAAGCATTCTTTCTCCGTGGTTGAATACTTCTGTTCCGCCCCCGTCAGCACTCTGCTCGTGTACTCCACCACCCCAGCCGGTTGAGACAAAACCGCACCGATTGCCACGTTGCTTGCGTCGACAGCCACAGTGAACCTCTCACCAGGATTGGGTAGCCGTAGACATGTCGGGGCTTCTGCTATGCATGCCTTTAGATAGTCAAAGGCTTGATCCGCTTCAGCTGTCCACACGAACGGCACGTCCTTGCGAAGCAGCTTTAACAACGGGCTGACCTTCTCTGCGAACTGGGGCACAAACTTTGAATCATATGCCACCACTCCCAAGAACGAACGGAGCTGACGCTTGGATTTTGGTTTTGCGAAGCACTTGATCGTCTCGCGTTTCTCCGGAAGTGGATGGACTTGACCATTGCCCACGATGTGACCCAAGCATACAATCGACTTTTGGGCAACCTGCGACTTTTTACGACTGAGTTTCAGACCAGCTTCGTCCAGTCTCTGCAGTACTGCTCCAAGGCTGGTCACATGTTCCTGTTCCGTCTCAGAGACGATGATGTCATCACCATAAACAAGCACGCCTTGCAGGTTCTCGAGGACCATCAGCAACAAACGCCTGAATGTAGCTGGGGCGTTGCACAATCCAAACGGCATTCTCAAAAACTCGTACTGCTGGCCATTGACGCTGAAAGCCGTCTTGTGGCGATCTTCTTCTGCGATCGGCAGTTGCCAATATCCCGAGCGGAGATCAATCAGAGATATCTGCTTCGCACTGTGAAGGCTTGAGAAAATCTCTTCCATCTGAGGCATCAGGAATGCATCCTTCACAGTCACCCTGTTTAGTTCTCTGAAAGCGATGCAAAATCGATAGGGTTCGTCAGCCTTCTTCGTCAATAGCACGGGTGATGAATATGGGCTGTGCGTTCGCCTGATGATTCCTTTCGATTCCATATCGGTCACCTGCTTCTGTATCTCAACCAGGGTGTTCTGTGGAATTCGTCTGAAGATTGGCTTGCATTGTCCTCCTGGGATCAACGGTATTCGGTGTTCAACCCAATTGCAAAATCCGTAATCATCTTCCGCGTCTGTGAATAAGTGGGCATACCTGCTCAGTACGTTGCGTATTGCACGGTTCTGACAATCAGGCACGGCTTTGAGGGCACCCACCCAGTCGGTTCTCCCCTCGTTTATCTCGATCGTCTCGTTCGCCACGATCATCACATCGTTTTTCAGGTCAATTGTGACACCGAGCCGTTTCAGGATGTCGGTTCCGATGATGGTTTCGGTCGTCTCCTCCACGATGAACATGTCATGGCTGATGAGCGTTTCTCCTATCCTGATTCGTAACCGCTGCGTGCCCGTCACTTTCAAAGAATGCCCGCCGACCGTCTGCATCGTGATTGAAGATGGGTTTACTGGAACCCCATTGAACCTCTTCGTAATTGACACTGCCGCTCCTGTGTCTACTATGGCTCGGACAGACACACCTTCTATAGTTAACTGGAGGACTGGTACTCACCACCGACTCGGCATGGATAGAGAGAAACAATGGGGCACATTGACGTTGGTGCAGAATCTCGCCACATGACCATTCTGGTTGCATCGGAAACAGCGGCGACCGTTCCGGATTACCCGTATATTGCGTTGTGAAGTGGTGCTTGAAGACTCTATCCACAACAGCTGCTCCACCATTTCGGATAGGCGATTTACTTTCTGTTCCAACTCAGCATGCTGGATGTTTCTCACTGTCACTCGTTCCGACAAATTCTGGGCGACCGTCACCAGATCCAACGCTTTGCTGTCTCCCACCATCGACGCCAATTTCACCTGATCATGGAGTGGACCGGGCAGACTTCGGATAAACTGCTGTTTCAGTAGGCGCTCTCTTGCGTTACCCTCTAACTCGGGGAGCCCAATCGTTAGATGTCTGTCCAGCTGCTGGAAAAACACCATCAAATCCTCCTGTTCGTCCCATCTAGCTGCGTGAAATCGTTGCAGTGCTCGTTCTCTCTCCAGATCCTTCCCAAATTCTGCACACAAGGCAGCCCTCATCTCAGCGAACGAACAACCGGGTTTGGCCTTTCGAGTGAGCAGATACACCGCCTTGGCTCGTCCACTCAACCGTGTGCCCAAAGCAATTAGCAAATTTGCATCCCCCCTCACACCCGTGCAAGCCGCAATTCCGTCGAACTCATCGAGCCACGCCTCCACGTCACCGGCCGCAAATTGCTCTAACTGGGTCAACTCCATCGCGATTGGTCACGGCACCAGTGTAGCGAGAACGACAAGACAGGGGGGTAGACGTTTATTGCACACCGAAAATGGGCACATGAGGGTCGCGCGCGCGCCATCGAATATCGACTAGATTTCCGTCCCACAACGCAACACAGGTACGGATGTTGGAGACGAGCCAGTCCTTTCTCCTCGGGAGCTCTGACTTGGAAGATCTGCCTTCCTGTTTTCGCCTTGATCCCCACTTCTCTGTACCCGATTTGGATCGGCCAGGAGTCGTTCGAGAGCTCTCGACTTGCTTGTTCTGGGCTGTGTCAATTGGCTCGGCGTCGGTCCTGTAGGCTGCGTTAGCGGCGTATATGTCTGATTTATTGCGCTGTCCACACATTCCCGCTCCGTAGTTCCGGGCCCAGGCTCGTCGCTAGCCGTCCTTCTCGATCCGCTCTCAGCTAGCTCCGAAGAGCTCCCCCGAGGCATTCTTGGAAGCGGCCCCTCTACACTACCACTGTGCACAAGTAGAGGAAGCCAACATTTGTCATGACAACAGCTTGCCGAGTTGCGTATGGTAGGTACTTGCTTAAATTGTGCTCAACGACCTGGTCACTCAGATCCTTAACCAACCGTGGCCAAGGAGCAGTGTGGCTACCGTTCAGGCCGTAGTACGGTAGGTATGGTGTTCGCGGCAGGAGAAGTACAGTGAGTGAGACCGAGCAGCACAGTCGCTGTTCGTCAGCTTTGTGGAGACATCTGACAATGTAAACTACGAGACACTGGTTTGTTGCGGGTAAATTTGGATATCCAGTTTTGTTCATCTAGCATCCGGATGCTGTTGTCTATTGACGACTGCGTGTTGTTTGCACACAGCGTGAATGAGTTACAGCGTATGACGATGGCTCTCACTTCGACGGCGGACAAGTTTAGACTCACCATCAACGTAAGACTACCTACTATTTTCTGCTCTCAACAGAAGTGGAATTCGTATGCTGTCACCAACTCAAATGTTGACTCATTTGCGCAGACCTTAGAAAAAATTGCCACCTATGGAGTGTCGGCCGATGGCCAAGTAGTCTGCGTGTCTGGGTTGCAACCATAAGGTCAACGGTTGAAATTCGCGTATGGGTGTGTGTCCTACAGCGGTATACACAGCCCGCACGCTGTCTGGTTGTGGTCATATGGCAGCAAAGTGCGGTTACGGCGTACAGATGGTGGTTTACTCACTTTTTTCTTCCTCCGGAGTTTGTTGTCTGCAGACCTGTTGGTGACCAGCGAATTGCGCTGCATCGGAACGAACGTAAGTGCTGAGCTTGGTAAGTTGAAGAATCATCAGCTGAATGCTGGGGCAAAATTACTTGCGTACAATTCTATGGTGGTGTCAATTGTCGTCACATGAACACTGTTC